TTAGTAAAATGAAACAAAAACTAAACGTTAGGTATGATTTTTAAAAATTAAAAGTTTAGGTACTAAAATAGACCCAAACTAATAGTTTAGATACTAAATGTGTATTTTACTTTAAAAAAATATCATTAGCCAATAAGATCATGTCATGCAACATTTCTATAAAAGTAAATTATCTGACCTTAGTAAAAAAAAGTAACTGACATGTCAAGTCTCTAAAGTTTTCTTTCTATTTAGTTTAATTCCTAAATTTTTTATTTAATTCTAAACTAAACTTTAATTGTTTTTAAAATTTACGATTTAGTCCAATTTTACCATTGAATGCCTTGTAGTCTCGACTACTCGGTCCACAATAGGTTGTGGTGATCCAATCATCCAACAAGGCTAGGAAGATAACTGATGGGAGAATATCATGAATATGAATTTATAGACAACATTTTCAGAACCACACCAATACAGTTGAGAGCAGCGATCGTGCTTGTATACACCCGTTTTTGTCCGAACCTTTTGTCGGCTCCTACAATTATATAAGTACTAGAGTAAAAAACATAAAATTAGAGCAGGGGTCGGGGCCCCCCTTGGGCCCTAAGGGCCCTTTGTCTCTTAAAATAATCACGGATAACTAAAATGAAAGTAAAACTAAATATTAAATATGATTTTAAAATAAAATAGTTGAGTAACTAAAACAAAATAAAAATGATAGTTAAGATACTAAATTTATATTTTACCTTAAAATTTAATGGCTAAAGATGTAATTTCTTATTTTCATTGAGTTGTATTTGTAACATCCAAACAAACAAAAGATTCAAAATTTGGAAATTACAAGAAAACATAGGTAACACCAAAGTGAAAGCATCTCTAAGAACTCCCATTTCTTGGGTCTTTATACAAAACCATCTTTCATTAAAACATAATTACATCAAGAGAAATTATTAACAATATGCAAAAAGGCATAAGAGTTCCCTGAACTTTTGGGAAAAAAATTAATGTGGTTCTTGTGATATTTTCCCCTTAAACGTGGCTCTCTAATTCATAAAATAAATTCAATGTGGTCTTTTGACCAATTTTCTTCGTCATTGACCATACGGAGTTGGCGTGACAGTTCAAATTGCTGACACGGCGGTCCATAATGCTGATGTGACAGTTAATTTGCTATGTTTGAGTTACCAATTTAGCCCATCTATCATGTCATCCGCCATGTTATTAACCACCGTAGACTACCATGTCAGCACCATAATGGTCAACGAAAAAAAAAGTTGATCAAAGAATCAAATTAAGTTTATTTTCTCATTTGGAAGGCAACATTAAGAAAAAAATAATACGATATTCATATTTTTAAAATACAAGGACTTCTAGTGCAATTTTACCTAATAAAAATTTATAGATTTTATCTAAACTAATCAATCAACATTCCATGCACCGAAACTTTTAAAGAAAACTCCTTTTGAATTGTCTTCATGTAAACCCCAAAGTTGATATCTTATTTTTTTCTTCTAATTAACAATGTCTGAAACGGACACAAAGGTGAGGATAAATTAAGAGTATTACCTCGGAGAAAGCTAATACATGTTCATAATAGGACATTAATAATCGACCAAATCATTCAATATCGAACTAAAAAATGTCCACATTCCCTCTAGCTTTCCTGCTTAATAAATAGCTAGGTCTTCACTGCATTACCATCACAACTATACACAACTTAGCTTCCACTAAAGATGGAGCCATGGGTCATCATCCTTATCTCCATTTGCATGTCTGCTGTCATCATGTACATCTTCAACCTTCTTATCACCGCCAGAAAACACTTTCACCGTCTTCCTACGGGACCTTCGACCTTTCCGATCGTCGGCAACTTTCTATGGCTCCTCCTATCTTCTTTCCAACTAGAGCAAAGGCTCCGATCCATCCACGCTAAGTTTGGTCTTATGGTCACCCTCTGGTCCGGCCCGCCATCTTCATAGCCCCTCGTCACCAACAAAGCCTTCAACATCAGCTCCGCCTTCTACGGCCCTCTTTGGCGCCTCCTGCGGCGCAACTTGACATCTGAAATTCTCCATCCTTCGCGTGTAAAATCCTACAACCATGCACGCAATTGGGTGCTCAAAATCTTGTTGGATCGCCTCGAGTCACAACATGAATCCGGTGAGCCAGTTTATGTACTAAACCATTTCCAACATGCCATGTTTTGCTTGTTAGTATTAATGTGTTTCGGCGACAAGCTCGAATCGGAACAGATACGAAGAATCAATGACGTCCATCGGAACTTTTTTTTGAATCTTCTTATATTCAACATACAGAATTTCATGCCGAGTGTGACAATGGTTATATTTCGTAGAAGATGGCTAGAGTTCAAGCAATTAAGAAGAAAAGTAGACGATGTTTTGATGCCACTGATAAGAAGAAACATAAAGAAAGAGAGCAAGAAGAAACAAGAAACCGATCATGAATCCGTCTTAGCCTATGTTGATACTTTGTTTGATCTTCATCTTCCAGAAGAGAACAGAAAGCTCAAGGAAGAAGAAATGGTTACCCTTTGCTTGGAGTTTCTCAGTGCAGGCACCGATACTACATCAAAACAGCTCTGCAATGGATCATGGCGAATTTGGTTAAGAATCAAACATACAAGAAAAACTATACACGGAAATCAAATTGGTCAAGGGAGAGAAGGGTAGCACTGAAATGGTGAAAGAAGAAGATGCACATAAGATGCCATATCTGAAAGCCGTCATCTTGGAAACTCTAAGGCGTCACCCTCCGGCACATTTCGTGGTGCCACATGCGGCAACGGAAGACGTGGTTTTGAACGGTTGCTCGGTGCCGAAGAACGCGACGTTGAACTACATGGTGGCGGAGATGGGGTGGGACTTGAGGGTGTGGGAGGATCCCATGGAATTCATGCCCGAGAGGTTTGATGGAATGGAGGAAGGGTTTGACATAAGTGGGAGTAGGGAGATTAAGATGATGCCATTCGGGGTGGGAAGAAGAATTTGCCCAGGCCTTGCATTGGCGATGCTTCACTTGGAATATTTTGTGGCTAATTTGATTTGGAAGTTCAAGTGGACTTCTGTTAATGGCAATGAGGTAGATTTATCAGAGAAACAAGAGTTCACTATAGTGATGAAGTATCCATTACAAGCTCATATAAACCCTAGGCTTTGACCACGATTATGTCCATGAAATCTACAAGCTTATATATCCCTCTACCATTATATATATATATATATATATAATTGTATTTTTTTCTAGTCCTCGATTATAGGACGTTGATTTGTTACATTTATTAAAAAACTATAAAATGGTCATCCAATTATTCATTATGTTTCAAACTCGTCCATTTCTATTAAAAAATATCAATTTTTTTAAGCCGGAAGATAACATGATAAATGTGATATAATAATCGTTTAAGATTCTAAGATAAATATCGAGATGATGAAAGTATGCAATCCGACAAATACTCAAAACACAAAGAGCAGTTTGGAGTGAACTGATAGTTCCACCCCAAGATGCTTCATAATTATTATTAAATAATTAAAAATTATTTGGACTATTGGGAAAGTATCTTCATCTTCTTTGATTCCTATTTCAGATTATTGGATTTTTGTTTTAATTTGATACACCTACCCCATTGAAACTTTCCTGTTAATTTTAACATAAATTTTGTTAGATATGTTTAAGGATTAGGGTTTGTACAATCCCATGAGTTTGGTTCAATTCAAGTCAGACTTATTTTTTTTAAATATGGGTAAAATATACAAGTGGTCTCTCAGCTATAATGTGTTACTTTATTGATTCTTCTGACTATTAAAAGTTATAAAATGGTCCACTGACCATAAGATATTGCCTTTTTAAGTCCACCTGACTATGAAAAGTTACAAAATAGTCACCCGACTATTCATTGTGTTCCAAACTCGTCCTTTTTCGTTGAAAATTTAAGTTGGACATTAACCTGCATGCTGACCGGGATGTGATAGTTGTTTGGAACACAATGAATAGTTAGGTGATCGTTTTGTAATTTTTAATAGTCAGGGAACTTAAAAAGGCAACATCTTATGGTCGGAGACAATTTATAACTTTTAATAGTCGAAGAATTGAATAAAATAAAACAATATAGTTGAGGGGCTATTTGTGTACTCACCCAAAAAAAACATTTGAGGTTAATTTTACTAAAATACACCATCATAACTATAAATAGATTTTAATTTTAATGAGATGAATTTTATTTTTTAATTAATCAGTCTATCAGACAGCTAAGCTCTACAAGACCATTTTGAAAGTTTTCTTTTGTTCCTCAGCAACTTCCGGCTTTATCCATTGAGATACCTGGTGTTTATAAATGATTTAAGTCTAAACTACATATTTAGTACCTAAACTATTAATTTTAGTCTATTTTAGTGCTTAAACTTTTATTTCTTTCAAAATCATACCTAACATTTAGTTTTCATTTCATTTTAGTATTATGCCTTTAAAAACTTAACACGATTAGTATCTAAATTATCAGTTTTGATTCATTTTAATACCTAAACTTTCATTTCCCCCCAAATTTTAACGTTAAATTTTGAACGAGGTACTAAAATGAAACAAAAACTAAAGTTTTTAACAGTGAGTATTGAAATGAAATAAAAACTAAACTTTAGGTATTGTTTTGAAAAAAATTAAAAACTTAAGTTCTAAAACGGGTCAAAGCTGATAGTTTGGATATTAAACACGTAATTTACCCATGATTTAAATATATCAATGAGCTATATTAATATTTGTTAACTTCTTAGGTGACCTCGAATATCAAAGTATTTGAGCATTCATTATCAAAAATTTTTATAACATATACGGTGGTCGCTTGTAATTAACCTACGTTAATAAAAAAATAATTATAAACCTTTATATACTAATATGAACTCAATATCAGAAAATGGAGGTATAGAGATTAAATTCTATATAAACCTTTGTAAACTATAAAGCATACACGTTGGAATCTCTTGTAGCACATGCAGTAACCATTCTCAACAATGGCGGTTTGGTTCTTCATCTTCATCTCCATCTCCATCTCCATGGCTGTTATCCTCAAACTCATCTTCAACTATCCCTCTCAAAAGTTGCCACCAGGGCCACGTCCTCTCCCCATAGTTGGCAACTTGTTCTTCTTCCGCAAATCTTTTAATGACCTACATCATATACTTCACTTCCTTCATGCCAAATTCGGTCCCATAATCACCCTCCACTTCGGTTCTCGCCCGGCTATTTTCATCGCCGATCGCTTTCTCGCCCACCAAGCCTTGGTTCATGACAGTGTCGTTTTCGCGGACCGTCCTCCAGCTTTAGATGGTAAAGAGGAAGTCTTTATCACCACGGCCAACTACAGCTCCACATGGCGTGTGCTCCGCCGTAACCTAACGGCCGAGATGCTCCATCCTTCTCGTGTGAAATCTTATTCAGCTGCACGCAAGATGATGTTGGGGAGACTCTTGAAACTCCTCAAGCTTCAGTCTGGTCAATCTGCTGATCATTCGGTCCAAGTGATGGATCAATTCCGGAACTCCATGTTTAGCTTGCTCGCCTTCATGTGCTTCGGAGAAGAACTTGAAGACAAGAAAATCAAGGAAATAGCCGATGTCCAGAGAGATATGATGCGTACTTTCGGTGAAATGAGCACGGTTTCGATTCTTCCGACAATAACAATGATCATGTTTTATAAACAAGGGAAAAAGATGTTACAGCTACAAGAAGAAGCGAGACGTTTGATCATACCATTGATACTAAATCGAAACAAGGTAAAGCAAGAACAGAATAACAAACAAGGCTTCTCGTCCTACATGGATACCTTGTTGGATGTGAAGCTACCAGAAAAGAATAGGAGCCTGAATGTAGAAGAAATTCTGGGTTTATGCTCGGAATTTCTCAACGGAGGAACTGATAATACATCGGCACTCATGTTATGGACCATGGCAAACTTGGTGAAACACCCAGATATCCAGGAGAAGCTGTTTGAAGAGATGAAAAGAGTGATCGGAAACGAAGAGAAGACGGTGGAAGAAGATGATTTGCATAAGATACCGTACCTAAAAGCAGTGGTATTAGAAGGGTTAAGGAAACATCCACCGCTTCGCTTTTTGCTGCCTCATTCAGTGACAAAGGACGTGGCTTTAAATGGTCATTTGATTCCAAGAAATGGGAGTGTAAATTTCATGATCGGAGATATGGGGATGGATCCCAAAGTGTGGGAAGAGCCGATGTTGTTTAAACCAGAAAGATTTCTAAATGATGAGGAAGATGGAGAGGGATTCGATATAACAGGGAGCAAAGAGATAAAGATGATGCCATTCGGTGCAGGAAGAAGGATTTGTCCCGCGTATGCATTGGCCATACTTCATTTAGAGTATTTTGTGGCAAATTTGGTGTGGAAATTTGAATGGAAAGCTCGGGGTGGATATGATGTCAATATGGAAGAACAGCATGAGTTCTCTGTAAGGATGAAGCATCCGTTGCAAGCACTTTTATATCCAAGATTTTGATGTCTATTCGCACTAAATTATAATGTTTTGTAAAACCTTTTCCATCTATCTCTACTTCAAGCTTGTTTCATTCTTATATGCAGGAAGGGGAAATCCAATGTTTATCCAAAAAAAAAAGAGTTTAATGATCAAATAGAAAGAATGACTTAAAAATTTAATGACTAATGGTAAATTACCCATTAATTTATTTATTGGTTGCACAAATCAAGTCCCATACTTCATCGGATTCGCTTCCTGTATAGGCCATTCTGAATGCGATCCAGATAAGTGTCCAAATGGGTGTTGGCCATTCCTCCCTTCCGTCTTCCGTTGACTCATTTTTGTGTCGCTGCTTCTAAGCCACACCCAAAAACAAGAGCATTATACGGTCCCACTCCCCAAAAGCATCTCTTTCCCACTAAAAGGCAATCTCTTTTTGCTGGTCTAAAAATTGGGTCTTCGAACCACGGGAGAGTACCTGGCGAGATGGAAATCCAAAAGGGTATTGCCGCTGCACGAAAACCCATCGTTGATATTCATGGTATTGATGAAGGTTTGATTCAAAAGATAGTTTATGATGCTTTCGTTTGGAGTTCCCTTCATGGTCTTGTTGGTGGTGACAGAAATGTTCAGGTTCATCTGTCAGCAGTTTTTCATTCTTTGTTTATCATTTACTCTTTTTTACCATTTCTGTGTATACCCTCGTATTCTCCATTCATGTTGATCGTTTTATGGTAAACCGAGAAAATAATATGGTTTAAGTGCAGCAAACATGATCGTACTGAAATCATCTTTGTGCCCTATTGTTTAGTCATTGTTAGGTCATATTTCATCCCAACTACTCTGCTAGGATTTTTCTCACTGAAATGAATTTCGTTTGCAATTCTGTCACCATTTTTTTGTTGTTGACTTCTGGTTGAACTCATAATGTGAATCTAGAAAGTAAGTTTAGGGAAAGATGCTCTAAGTAAGGGTGTGGATTATATTATTCTTTTGTGCTTGACTTTGATGGGTGTGTGCCTAATTACAGAGATTCTGGGAAGCTACCTGGTGTCGGCATGGTTCACGCTCCAATTGCTTTGTTGCCTACCTCATTTCCAGAATCCCATTGGAAACAAGCATGTGAACTAGCTCCAATTTTCAATGAACTAGTCGATCGTGTAATGTTAGACGGAAGGTTTCTGCAAGACTCCCTAACTAGGTATGCTCTCTTGCTCAATCCCTCCCCACCTTTGATTTTTTGTTATGTATCTACTTTGTTCTTGTAGCTTCATTTAAGTGACATGCCATTTTCTGAACCGTTATCGAATTTGTTCTGTGAGAATACTGTTCGCTGTAAATTGATATTATCGATGCTTGACATTGCAGGACCAAAGCAGCAGATGCTTTTACCTCTAGACTTTTTGATATTCATTCCAAGATGCTAGAAAGGAATAAGAAAGAGGTAAGTGAGTAATGATTATGGATGTTTTGTCTTTAATAATGTGGGAAAGATTTATTTTGATCGAGGAAGTGGAGTATTCTAATGTTCGGATCGGGATATACTTCTAGAATCTCTGTGCATTTACCTTTTGTTCTTCATGCACTTTGTCAATGTTTCAACTAGTGTTTGCTTTCCATTTTTATGTTACCATGTAAACTAGGTTCTATTAAGAACAAAAAACTACTTCATAAGGTCTTATCTTTCCCTGGTGCATGAAAATATTGTCAAAGATTGTTAAAGCTGTTTGATAATAATGATAAGGTATATTTGCCAAACCATTTGCCCTAAATGTGGAAACACGCGTTGTTTGAATATTGCTGAAACTGGAAATACGCTTGGGTTTACATCGATCAGATTACATGCTTGATGAGAAAACCAAATTACTCCTCCAAACAATTTCATCTTCTTTTGCTGGTCTTGGTTGTCTTGTGACTGACCTTCTCAGGTTGAGCAAATAAGCATTTTTGCTTAGCATCTCGAACATAACTTTATTATTTACCCGCTAAGTTTGAATATTGCTGTGCTGGAATTTGCATGTTGAATGAAGCTTATTGAGAAAAATTAGTCAACTGACGTATGTTTGTTATTGCAACTTCAACATTGAGTTTAATTTCAGGGAATTAGATGCAGTGCTCTTTAAACATGTAAAGAAAAAGTCACGATAAACAGGGATGGCATATCTTTTAATCAAGGTTCCCTTATGATTTTACTTGGTAGTGATTAATTACTAAAGAAAGTTTCACCAGCCTATATTAATACTAACCCAAATTGAAAAGAGCATAACCATTATACTCGTGAAGTTTGACATATTTTATGCAATACAGCTTCTTTGTGTCCCTAATATTCGGAAATATATCATAAAGGGGTAGTAGAACTATTTGTTGTTAAACTGATGCAAAAGCTTGAAAGATATTCAGAAAACTGAATCATCAACAAGTTTCTCTACCATAGCTAGTCATTTTGCAGGACTCTACTTGATGACAAGGGAGAAAACCTTGGCTTAGATTCTAAAAGGATCCCAGGAAACACTGCAAGACTGCAGCTTGCTGAGGCATTGGCTAAAGCTTGGACTGAATATAATAACCCCAGGTTAACTGTGAAAGAATCTGCCCTGGTCTTTTTCATCTCGCTGCAATCGTTCAAGTCATTTTGACGCTTATAATATCTTCTTTTTGGGGTACAGGGCTGTAGTTATGGTTGTTGTTCAGAACGAAGAACACAATATGTATGACCAGCATTGGCTTTGTACAGTGTTGAGGGAAAGATATCCTTTTTAACCTTATCTCTATTGGTTGAACAAATACAATAAAACCTTCCATAAAAAACGAAATATGTTCAATTGTTTTTCCATTTTGAAAGCTTTGATCCTGACCTTACTTGGCATTGCATTCCTTATCTTTGTTTCACGTGTAATGTAAGAAGTATTAGGAAAACACTGACTGAAATTGATAGTGAAGGCCAACTTCTCCCTGATGGCACACTTGTTGTGTATGTATCTTCATAGTACTGCATAGAGTTTTTGTCTAGATTTTAGAATTGGCATGCCATCTTCTACTTTTAATATCTGAAATTCTTGCACCTGTAGAGGTGGCCAAGCAGTTGCGGTTATCTATTTTAGAGCAGGGTATACGCCAGCTGATTATCCTTCAGAATCAGTAAGCAATTTAACTCTATTTTTTTTCTTTCCACTTGTCACAAATAAGATTTTAATGACTATTTTTCTTGCTATTCTCCAAAAACTGCTGTCATTAATATGGTTTGGATGGATACTCTTTTATTCTTGTCGTTTCTATAGTTACCAAACATGTGTGCACACACTCTGAACTAGTCATCCTTGAGAATTACAGCAACATTAGACCAGTTTGTACTATTTGTGCTTCTGATGTGGTTGTTACATTTCCGATTTCTAGGAGTGGAGTGCTCAACTGCTAATGGAGCAGTCTTCAGCTATCAAGTTCCCATCAATATCATATCATTTAGCAGGAACTAAGAAGATTCAACAAGAACTTGCAAAACCTAATGTGCTTGAGAGGTAAGTAATTCTCTGTCCAACCTATCAACGGATTTACCGAGTTGACTTAAGAACCACCTCCTTGAAAGATTTACTGCATACATATTGAAAGTAGAAGAATGGCAACCCTTATGGATCTTGAAACTTGAAAGATTATAGCATGTCGTTGTCCTGGTAATGCTATTATATCAGTCTTAACTTTTAGTGAACAACTACAATTACTTCGAGTTGTATGTTTTCTTTAATTTTTTTCCATATCCATGGAAGCAGGTTCCTCGACAACAAAGATGATATCTCCAAACTACGGATATGTTTTGCTGGATTGTGGAGTTTGGTTGACCCGGACATCATAAAAGAAGCAATAGAAAAACCGGAGTTATTTGTTATGAAGCCCCAAAGAGAAGGAGGAGGTTCTATAACTTAAGACTTTACAATACAAATACAGTTGTTCATTGTATTCATTCAGTTGAGAATTGAGTCTTTAATTCCGCTTCAGGGAACAATATCTATGGTGATGATATGAAAGAAACCCTTCTACGATTGCAAAAGAAGGGCTCTGGAGAAGATGGTGCTTATATACTTATGCAGAGGATTTTCCCAGCTGCTTCTCCCAGCTGCTTCTCTAACATATTTGATTCGTGATGGCATTTGTCATAAAGATCATGCCATATCAGAGCTTGGGGTATACGGTGCTTACTTAGGGTACGTACATCTTCATGGTTTTGTTTCATCTGATTACAACTGCTAGTGTTGTTTCATCTCGATCATGTGTATGTTTCTGAAATCTCCATATATTTGTCGGACCCAGCTATAGAAAATGAAGAGGATAGACTGAAACGGTTTTCACATCTTTAAATCTTTACTGTCAACATTTATATTTTGGGATGCGCAGTCCTCAGTTTGCACTCGCAGGAATAAGGAGAACGTCATCATGAATTACCAATGTGGCTACTTGATGCGGACCAAGGTATCATTGTCGAATGAAGGAGTTGCAGCCAGATTTGCAGTGTTGGATAGTATATATCTGACTCAATGATGCAAATTTTGTGGATACAATCAATCTTACATACACTTTCAAACATTTACTGCTGATTTATTTATATCTCACACAGTTTGGCAAATAATGGTCCACGATATCTTGAAACAGCTTGAAGAGCTGTTCAAGTGTTTGCTTACACAGAAAAGGAAACGGATAACTTTTTCTATATTTTTCTTATGAGAAATACCCAAGTTGAGCCTTGTAGCTGTTGTGGTGAGTTGCAATGATTTGAAACTAATTGGATTGATAAAGCTTCCCTTTCTTTCTTCATGTATTGTATTTGTCATAACGGATGCTGTTCTGGTCGGTTGATAAGAGAGACTGAAACTGCAGAATAACGATCGTTACCCAATTGGTTCAACATTGCGTATCGATGCCGATGCCGATGCTCTTCCTCTTCTTCTTCGAGCTTTCATTCTACGTATCGATGCCGATGCTCATTATGGATGAAAATCAACAGGTGAACAACGAGGTTCTCTGAACTGGATGCAAAGGTGTGATATCATTCTAGGCACCGTGAGGGGCCTCTCGTATCTGCACGTGGAGTTTCATGTATGCATCATTCATCGAGATATAAAGTCGAGTAACACCCTTTTGGACGATGATTTCCAGCCTAAAATAGCTGATTTCTGGCTAGCAAGACTTCTTCCTAAGGACAAGAGCCATTTGAGCACCAAATTTGCTGGGACCTTGTAAGTATATTTCCTTGATTAAATGCTATGAATAGGGATGGATCGAGAGAGTACGTTTGTGTTTATTTAACATTAAGGTTACTGATGATTTGTTTTGAAAAAGGGGATACACATCGCCGGAGTATTCAATCCATGGACAACTATAAGAGAAGACTGATGTGTATAGCTATGAGATTGTTGTGCTTGAAATTGTAAGCTGTCAAAGAAGCCATGAGACCACGAGCGATTCTGATGCCTGTCTCCTCAAAAAGGTAAATTCATTTTGTTTTCAATCAAACCATCGTCTTGCTAACGAGTTATGAAATGATGCAGGCATGGACATTGTACGAGAATAAAATGCAGCACCGATTAGTGGAGGAAAGCCTGGATCGGAATGAATATGAAGAAGAAGAAGCGAAAAGAATGGTGGAAAATAGGGTTGATGTGCACACAATCAGCAGCGGCGTTGAGGCCAAGCATTTCCCAAGTGGTAGTGTTGCTGAAGAGCAAAGGGTCAATGGAAAGCAGACCACTCACAAGGCCTACCATCATTGATTCAAACGTGGGAGTTGAAACATCCACTTCCACCGCCTCCGTTGCCGCCAACTCATCCCGCTAACTTTATACACATTTTGTAAATTTCAATAATTATATCTTAATCCCAATTTATTAATATATACACTTATTAATTTTCTCACAACAAATCTTATTTGATTTCTTATTCACAATAAATTTTAACTAAATCATTAACATAACAACCATCCAATTTATTTATATGGATGAGTAGAAATTTTTAAAAAAATTACATCAATGTTGTAATAAATTTTTAATTGTTAAAGATTAAAATAAAATAATAATAATTTAGTGATTAATAATGTAATTTATCTTTTTTCTTTTATAAAAAAAAAAGAAGAATTCCGTGCGATATACCTTCTCCAACGGACACGAGACTCCAAGAATAACATTCAAACTTAGATATATACACCACGTGGCCACTATCTATTGGCTCGACATATCAATCTTCTTGGTTTTATTTTTTGAACTCCTTTACCGAATCAACCTGATGGTCCTGATCCCAAAATACATGTATATCGTTGCAAAGTTTTGGGGTCTAACTTTAAATCTCATCCCTTCGTTCTATGAAAAGTTATAAATTAATATTTTTACTTTGATTTGTTAAAATTGGATCCTCATACTTTAGGGAAAAATAGAATTTAGTTTAATTATTAGTGAAAACATGAATTTAAATCACTGTTTTATTTTTCTTATTCTGATTTATTATATATATATATATATATTGTTGAATGACATATTTTAACTAAGTTCTTGCGTGTAACTTGGCGAACCACTGTTTTTTTGTTGTTGGTGATTTATAATAAATTTTAAAGTATATCATTAAGCTATATTCAAACACTCTAATTGTTTATCATTAAATTTTTTAAAAGTTATAAAATAAACATTAATTTTATCAAACTATCATGAAATAAATATTGAATTTTATCAAACTGTTGTAGAATGGTCATTACATTTATCATGAAATGATCATTTTGTAAATTCTAAAAATTTATGACCAAAATATGATTTAGTTACATCTAGTTCACTATGTCCTAAACTTGAATCGTGTTGGACTAACTTGACAGCTTTTGTAAAGACGAGTATCAAATTCTTAGGAAATAAGATAGAGGGAGAAACGTCTAATTTGTATAAAGTAAAAGGATTGAATAGAGAATTAAACCAGATATTATTCGTATTTTAAGGCGCATCGTTGACGTACGGGTAATGGCGACGTGAGAATTTTAGCGTCTTCTTCGTCGGCTTTCTTCTTTGCTAACGTATGCAGAAAAACGAAATGTAATTAAGATGATGAAATATCCATTCGAGTTTCTGGATCCTTTTCACTTACAGCAGTAGAGATTCAGTTTTGTTCAACAAAAAATGGAGCCCCAGAAGCCACATTCTGGTTCGATAATGGCTCTCTTCAAAAAACCGTATTGGGTTTTCTTCTCCTCACGGCCTTAGCCATTCTCTCTGTTCAAATCGCCACACAATCCATCGTCCCTTTTCAAATCTTTCGGGTTTCCGGATCCGAGAAAATCGCTGCCGTCTCCGACTCGAGCTGTGCCGGGTTGTTCGGAGAGTTGCCGGTGAGAAGGCATGTCGTGTCGATAAAGGAATTCGGGGGAGTGGGCGATGGGAAAACGTCGAATTCGGCGGCGTTGATCCACATGCAGCGTTTTGTGGACCATGGCGGGTCTCAGCTAAACGTGCCGAAAGACTTTAATCTGACCAGTAATTTCATTCTGTTATTTTAGGCTCTCAGGATCCAAAGGAATGGCCTCTTGTGGAGCCATTGCCGTCTTATGGGGCAGACATACAAGATGGCCTTAGCAATGTTGTCATTACAGGTAATTCTGTTTTTAAATTGTTTGTGCCCGGATTTACATTATGCTCTTCTCAAATTAGATTCAACTATGAATGCTCTTGATAATTTAAATATTATTTTAGTGATTGTCTAATTTCTAATCTCCTAATCTAAAATTCTAATATAATTTCTTAAATTTGTAACCATAATAACAAAGTGAATGCTTTTGCATTCATGCTAACTCCGGTGTTAAAAAATACACGTCCCATCTCGATTAAAAAATGCCATATATTTGTAATAAAAATATCTTACTTTTCGAGTCAGGCCTAGGTCAAAAACTATTCTTTATTCGGATATTCGTCCATCTGGTACTTAGTTTTTTATGTATATTTTATTCTACTTTATTTTATATTAGATGTTTTATTTCTGATTCTCTATTTCACCCTAATATTCTATATTCTTAATTTCTTAAATTATTTCACCATAACAATCTAAATTATTAATTTCTTAAATTATTCAGCCTAACAACCTAAATTATTTCTCAAATTGTTTTTTTAATTTTAAAATTCAATATATTTCGTTATTTTTATTATTAATAATGTAATTTGAATTTTTACTTATTATGGGTGAATTATGTGTTATGGACTTTTAAATTTTAAATTTTTTAAATAATATAATGGGTAAAGTATATAAATAGTCCCTGAACTTTTAGGACGCTTACATTTTGGTCATCCAACTTTTGAAATTTGTAATACAATCATCAAACTTTTAGTTTATCTTCATTTTTATCCATTCTATTACATCCGTTAGTTTTTCGTTGACGTGGCAGTTAACCTCCCTCTTCTTCCTCTCCTTTTTCTTCTTCTGAAAATCCTAACCTCGAAACCCCCCGAACATCATAACCCTATTAAAAATCATAAGCTCCTCATAATCATAACCTCCACAAAATCAATCTAATGCTCCCTAATTTTAATACTGGAATATGTTGAATTTTGCTAACCGGGGTTAGGATTTTGTGTTATGAGTTATTTTTATAACTATCATTTAGTTTTAATATTGGAACCTGCTGAATTTTACTAATTGGGGTTAGGATTTTGTGTTATGATTTAGTTTCATGAGACTCTGGATAAACAACCCTCCTAAATGTAGCCTTATCTTTTGGTTTATCAACCACATTGCAAGATCGACTAAGGCGGTGTTTGTTTTCACTGTTAAAGGTCTTCAAACCTCTCATGTATGCGCCGCGCAGACCATGCGCAGACATTGGGCTTTGCAGACCGTTTGTTTTTTAGAAGACAGAAGCTCTTCTAACATCTGCACGTGGTCTGCGCGACGCAGACGTGGTCTTATATCTTTAAAGCTCTTCTAACCTCTTCAAAGAACATTAACAAATATGGTTATTTATTAAAATAATTTTAAATAATTTAATAAGGTTATTTATTAGTATGGATTGATTTATTTTAAAATAATTTATTTTAAATAATTTATTAGTATGGATTGATTTATTTTAAAATAGTTTATTTTAAATAATTTATTAGTATGGATTGATTTATTTTAAAATATAGATTGATTTATTATTGTAGTTGTATGGATTGATTTTTTTAAATAATTTATTAGTATGGATTGATTTATTTTAAAATATGGATTGATTTATTATTGTAGTTGTATGGATTGATTTATTTTAAATAATTTATTAGTATGGATTGATTTATTTAAAATATGGAATGATTTATTATTGAAGTTGTATGGATTGATTTATTTTAAATAATTTATTAGTATGGATTGATTTATTTTAAAATATGGATTGATTTATTTTAAAAAAAATATTATTGTAGTTGTATGGATTATTAAATTTCAGTGTTGTAAAACTAAAATTATTTAAATCTCAATATTGCAAAACTCTTTTAAGTTTAAAAAATCAGTTTATTTATATTTCAGTTCATTTTAGCAGTTTGCAGACGTTAAAAAAAAACAGTCTTCTTCTTGCAGACTGCAGACTTTGGGTCCACCTCTTTTGTTGCAGATGCCTGCAGACTTTTTACCTCTACAAAAACAAACTCCACCTAAGTATCTCTTTTAGCTCATCTAGCTTCCTCAGAAGCTCAACTCGCTCTTGTTCAAGCTAAGTTCCATTAGAACCATACTGGTCAGTGCAGCTATGCAGGGAATCATTATAAGAACAAGAAGAATCTAAATGACGGTTTGCTGGGCCTTCGTCTAGATGATTTAAGGTAGAAAATCGCAAACCTTCAACGATTGCTTTTGGAGTTCTCTGCAACCCTGTCATATCTCCTTGTGATCTGAAAGTATATCCAAAATTGGAATCTGTATCCTCTTGTTCTTTTTCAACGTAAATAACTATAATATCCTTATTCCTGCTGGAACTATTTGCATTCTCAACAAGCCGTTTATCACCAGCAACCATAGAATCATTCCTACTTGTATCAATGCAGTCGACATTCTTCTCCTTCTCTGCGCCAGTTTGATCACACCTCAAAGAGTTGTCACTTGATTTAGCATCCGCATCAGAGGCATCACTCGAGTCTACTATTCCTTTCTCTAAGGGAACCTGGGAGTTGCTAGATATTCCTCCAAGTCTATCTTCTTCCAACTTCTTGAATCTGCTTCACGGTTCCTAATTTTTGTTGTTAAAAAACAACATTCCATTATTAAAATTAAGGAGCTTTACATATTTCATGAATGATCGATACAATAAGTTCACAAAACAGAACAAGGAACTATAATCCAAAGCCTTAAATGTTTTCATTAGTTTGAATTAGAAAAATTCAGCATATTTCAATTATAAAACTAAATGATAGGTTTTTGGGTTTGATTTTGTGGAGCTTATGATTTTCAATGGGTTATGATTTGTGGAGCTTATGATTTTTTGGAGGTTAGGGCTTTCAGAAGAAGAAGAATAAGAGTTGACAGAAAGTTAATTGCCACGTTAGCAAAAAACATAAATGAAAACGAACTAAAAGTTCGATGATTGTATTGCAAATTTCAAAAGTTGGGTGACCAAACTGCAAGCATCCTAAAAGTTTTGTGACTATTTGTATACTTACATTTAACGAGTCGAGACACAAACTTGCATTTTGATACCCGAAAATTGGATACCTAATTTTGAACACTCCTAAATACTAGGTATTATCTTAGAAACCATCTAAAATAACACTTTTACATGATATTTCTTCCCTATTAAACTAGCAGTTGGATTTATCTAAAAGCATACTAACGATTTGAGGTCTTTACTTCCAACAGAGAAGCTGGTTGCCATCATCCTTTAGCTTGATTCGAAAATTTACCATTACTAAAGCAACTTTTACAGTGAAGAATTTCTACCGTCTCGAAGGATTTATCAAGTATGTGTGATGAGTAGTCGTAATTTTTTAGGGCAGAATGGGACAATTGATGATCAAGTTAGGATGTGGTGGGATTTATGGTGGAACAAAACGCTAAACCACAAAAGAGGCCACATTATCGAGATAATGAACTCTCTTAACATTCTTATCTCTAACTTAACCTTTAAGACCATTCGCCATTTTGGACCATTCCTCATGTTTACATCTGTTAGAGTTTGACTCGAATTCAAAGTGACACAAATGAATTAATATATAAATATTGGGAAAGTAGGAAACTCAGTTTGATTAAAAGTATAAAACTTTATTAAATTAGATTTATACTTTATTTAGTTTTCTTTGTAATCAAGTATCTATCTCTATAAATAAATACTATGGGTCAGGGTTAGATATCAAATTTTTCTTTCATCAAAACCCTCTTGTATTTTCTTCCTTCATATTAGTGAAATTCTTCTCCTCTGCTCGTGGTTTTTCCCTTTTGGGTTTTCCACGTAAATCCTAGTATTCTTTGTTTTCATTTTCGATCATGTTTATTTGTTTACTGATAATCATCGTTCTGATATTATAACAAATTGGTATCATAGCTTCGGGTTCAAGATTATGGCAACAATGAAGTATGATATTCTGCTGTTAGATCGAAATACCAAGTTATCGCTATGGCAGGTAAAGATTCGAAATGTTCTTGCATAGTTAGATCTCGATGATACAATAGAAGGATTTGATGAGAAACCAGAAACACAATGAAAGAATGTGAAAAAATGTAAGGATCATAAATTTCTTTCTCAGATTTGTTTACACTTATCAAATCAAAATTTACAGGATGTGTTGAAAAAAAAAGCAATTGCATCTTTGTGGGCGAAATTAGAGCAACTTTGCATGCAGAAATCATTGACCAGCATGTTACACCTAAAACAACGTATTTATTCACTTAAGTTGGCAGAAGGTTCATCTCTGGAAGAACACCTGACAACATTCAAGGATAATGTGTCTAATCTAGAGACTTTAAAAGTAAAGTATGATCAAGAAGACTTAGGACTGATCCTCCTATGTTCACTGCCTTCTTCCTTCTTATATTTCAGAGACATAATATTGTATAGTTACGAAACTCTCATTCTTGAAGATGTGTATAATGGCCTACACTCTTTTGAAAAGATGAGACATCTTGTATCTGATTCCGAGCCCCAGACAGATGGTTTCATGATGCATGAATCGACTAGCTCAGATAGTGGGAGAAAAGGCGAGCGTTCTTCTGATAATATTGTAAGGAGTAGATCAAAATCTTTCAACCAAGGTAAAACTTGTCACTATTGTAAAAAGAAAGGTCATATTAAATCGTAGTGTTACAAGTTGCAAAATAAAATCAAAAGAGAAGCTGAAGAGCAAAACTCTAGAAAATTTGGTGAGATTGGTATAGTAGAGGAGTACGATGACAGAGAACTCCTAGTTACGGCTGACGACAACTTTATAACAAGTGATGAGTGAATATTTGGCTCTGGTAATAGTTTTCATATGAGTCCTAATCGTGACTGGTTTGCGACGTATGAAACTGTATCTACAGGTGATTTATTTTTTGGAAAAAATGTCTTTTGCAAAGTTGCATGTATTGGCACAATCAAGATTAAGATGTTTGACGAGATTGTTCGAACACTTGGTAATGTGAGACTTGTTCAATATTTAATTAGAAATCTAATTTTGTTAGGTACTCTATATTCAAAAGGTACAAATTTTCCAATGAAGGTGGAGCTATGAAAATTTGTAAGAACTCTCTTGTTGTGTTGAAAGGGCAGAGAAATACTACCAAGTTTTATGTTCTACAGGGTTCAAAAGTTTTAGATAATGCATTTGGTGTTTCATCCACCGTGTCAAATAACGTTGTTGAACAAAAATAACCGCGGGCAGAACTATTATGCGAAGTAGAAAAAAGTTCAATTTCGTGAAAAAAATGAATTTGAAGATAGTACTATCATTGATGATCGGGAACGTGTTATGCATGATATTGCTCGTGGTGAGACATTTGTGAACAAAATTGACACTTATGATAACCATGTCGATGTGAAGACTAAATTCAAGCCTAGAAAAAGTTTGGATTCGGTCGGTGTCCATTATTGAAGATTACCCCTTTGAGGGGTGTTGTGGAAGAGGTGGAGAACTTGTTCGTTGAAGTCAAGAATTGTTTTTTGTTGAGCTTAGGTGTCACATTGAATTTGAGTGTTTTATCTCGAAACCTTTGCACTTTCAGAATTCGTGTCAAGGTGGAGATTTGTTAGAGTTTGACTCGAATTCAAAGTGGCACAAATTAATTAATATATAAATATTAGGAAAGTAGTAAACCCACTTTGATTAAAAGTAGAAAACTTTATTATATTAGATTTATATTTTATTTAGTTATACTTTGTAATCAAGTACCCATCCCTATAAATAGATACTAAGGGTCATGGTTAAATATCAAGTTTTTCTTTCACCAAAATCTTCTTGTATTTTCTTCTTCATATTAGTGAAATTCTTCTCCTCTGCCCGTGGTTTTTTTGGGTTTTCCATGTAAATTCTGGTGTTCTTTGTTTTTTTCTTTTCGATCGTGTTTATTTATTTACCGATAATTATCATTCCGATATTATAACAACACCAGGTTTTACCTCTCTACCATCTAATACCTCATTTGTTTATCCATTCACTGCGTTTCTTGTATTGTTTTGTGCATGATTATGTAGTTCTGTTTAGGTAAAAGGAACTAACAGTCTGTTTTTCGACTCTTTTCTTGCAGCAATGTTGTTATTAAGGGAATGCAATATTGGCTCCCCTCAATGCACCAAACACATATGGAATAGACGCCGGTATGTTACTGTCATTAGTCCCCATCTTCTCGTGCAATTTATTCTATGTTGCGTCTCGCATATAACAACATAAACCTCATGGCCGAGACCTTTTTTTCCGACATTCTCATTAAAGCTTGTGCAGACTCATGTATCAATGTATGTATCGAGGACTACTATATCGAGAGCGGTGATGATCTCGTAGCAGTAAAAAGTGGATGGGACCAGTATGGCATCAGAATTGCACGACGGAGCTCAAACATAATAGTGAGGAGAATCTCCGGCACTACACCATCTTGTTCTGGCGTTGGCATTGGCAGTGAGATGTCATAAGGGATTTCTAATGTAACTATTGAATATATGAATGTTTGGAATTCAGCAGCTGGTGTACGTATAAAAACCGACAAGGGTAGAGGGAGATATATTTCGAATATTATCATAAAAAATATAACGATGGATGGAGTCAAAGTCCCCATTAGGTTCAGTACAGACTCCAGTGATCACCCTGATGATGGATGGGACCCTATAGCATTTCCTAAAATAAAGGGGGTATTTATTAGTAACATCATTAGTTTGAATTCAACAAAAGCCCCCGAACTCACTGGTCTCAAGGGTGCATCATTTGAAGGGGTGTGCTTTAAGAATGTTATGGTACTCGGACTTGCCCCAAATGCGGCATGGCATTGTGAGTTTGTTTCAGGTTGTGCCAATGCTGTGTTTCCATTGCCATGTCCCCAGCTGCAGATCAATGGCTCCTCGGCATGTTGCCTTTAGGCTCAAGTTTGTGGTCACTTCCCGAGTGCATTTCAGTTTTCAGTTGTGGATGCTTTGCACAAATTCTGACTTTTAAGGAGAATCATTCACTAACTTGATTAGCACGGACTTCACTTGCTCATGTGATTCTTCCTCTATTCTCCTTATGGGGGAGATATGAAGTTGGGGTCCGAAAAAATTGCTGGCTAGAAGGGTTACTGCCTGAGTTAGCGTCCTGCAATTTTGTCTAAATATACAATTTTCCGAGCAGTTAGGCTTGCTTGGGTGGTGGTCCTGGTGGACAGGTTAGTCTCGTGACTGGATTTTAGAATGTAGTTTTAACTTTTGATTTTTGATGACACTTTGAATATGATTGGCATGCTCAGGGTTTTCAACCAGCTGAGTCATCATAGACACACATGTACAAAGCAAACTCATAATTTATTTCATTGGTGTTAAGTTATATTATTATTATTGTTGTTATCATTACTCATCTCGTACTTTCTTCCTATATATTGTTTGTTTGAGTTAATGTTTTGAAGATGCAACTTGCAACTGCCGGGAAAATTTGTAGAAGGAGATGCTAAAATGAAAAAGCATGTAGCTAAAGTCTGTGAAAACTAGTAAAACAGATGGATAGGGAAGGCTGCTAAAATGGGAAAATTAGATACATATGTTGAGAGGTAGAAAGTGAAAAGTACATTTGGATCTAATCACCATTTCCAGAAAACATTGGAACCACACTTGTATTTGTCCTTTCCTTCACACTCCAAGGCCAAATCATCAGAGATGAATGGTACTTTCTGCAATAAAAAAACCAACAAGGATATCATCGACTGGAACTTTGAAACTAGGAAAAGAAAGATGCAGATTCAGATGTTAGGATTAGAACTTTTTGCTTTGCAAGATCCTGGCAGCCAGTGAAGTTCTCAGGGAACTTGCAAGAGCCAAATTGAACAGTGAATGCTCTGGCAAAGTTTGCTCCACTAGTGGCCAACCTCTTCTTGTCGTTCAATTCCTGCAGAAAATCAGGTTAAACCTATTATTCTGCAACTACAAAAGTTTCTCCAGAAGTAGTTGTCATTGAAAGAAACAGACAGACCTTGTTAGCTTTGCTCTTTTCAAGGTAATCATCAATGACTCCAGCATTTGCAGAAGAAGCAACAGCTGTGGTGAGAAGGGTAGCGGCCAAACAGAGCATAGCTGTTCTCCTTCCTTCACTGGCTCTTGATTCGTCCGAACAAGAAACTTTAGCTTGCTGTGCTCTGATCACAGGCAACCTGTGACCACCAGACACAACTGGGGAAGCAACTGAAGGGAGCTTGGTGTTAAGCTCAGATGATCCAGTGGCAGAGAGAGCGTAGTTGCTTGCCAAAACACTGGAGTTCATGGCTGCCATTTGTGTTGGAAAATAGATCAAGTTTGGAGCTGAATTGGGTTTGTTGTTGTAGTATAATAGAACTGTGAGGGAGGAGATCTGATAAGGAGTGAAGATGAGATGATGACTTGGATAAAAGATTGTGGTTGGAGTGTGGATAAGGTTGAGATTGCCTCACTCCTACTGGGAAACTTTGCTCTGCTTTCTATTTTATCTTTGTGTGGCATAGGGCCTTCTTCATTTGTGGCTCCACTTTGGAATCTAAATGTGTGCTTGCCATTCTGTCATGAGATCACTTGGGTTCTTTTTTGACTTTATACAGCCGAGACTTATAGGGCCAGGAGGAAGGAAATAAAACCAACATTTAAAGATATAAAATTGACTAATTGCCTCTAATGACAAACAAATTAAATCAAATGATCATCGTTTCATGTTCGACTGTAGTTCATTATCAAATAATTATTAAAACCCGTATTACTTTTGATTCGAAAAGAGAAAAAGGGAAACATTTTCCCGCCAAATTGGAAGAAGGGCGCCTAAAACAAGTCCCCTCCATTACTCATTTCATCAGCCAAACCCTAAAAACCAGATCATGTTGTTTTAGTTCTGTTACAAGCTTAAAGAGAATTATGAAAGGAGGTACGGTTCAGATAATTTGGCACGATACTAAGCCCGTCCTTACCCTAGACCTCCATCCCATCTCCGGTCTTCTCGCTACCGGCGGCGCTGATTTCGATATCAATGTGTTTTTTTCCTTCTCCTTCTAGATTTCTTTTTAATTTATCCATCCTTGCATTTCTCCTGCTATTTTTTATGCAATCAAGAGCTGCGTTAAACCATAGTGGTGAGTTAAACCATGTCTTAGGCAAGGGATTTCAAGGCTTAATATCAATTTTATTTTGGTAATTGAGTGTCCTGCCAGGCTAATTCGATTATTGTGTTTTATTTGTTTGAATTTTCAGATATGGGTAATCAATTCAGGCCAAGTGCAGAAGAAACTGCCGACTGCTTCATATCAAAATAGTCTCTCTTACCATGGCTCCGCTGTTAATGCCCTTCGCTTCTCTCCCTCGGGTAATGCATGAAAACCCCTTCTTTGAGCGCTTAATTTATTGTATATAAGGATCCCGGTGAAGTCATGTACAGGCACACTGAGTATTAACCTCTCGAGTTGTCTGAAGCTCAGAATTTCAATATCCATTCACTTGAGCCTGAGTTGATTGTTGTTCCAATTTTGAATATCTTATTGCATCTACACTCCGTTTGCAACTTTTTAAGAAATAAATGTAGTTTGTAGTTTCTTAAATTTATGACATATTTTTGAAGTTGTGTTTATCTAAGATAAAATTAACTTGTACACAAATCTAAGTTTTCTATTCTCTTTGATGGCTGGGATAATCTTGTCCTTTTTATGCTGTGCAGGAGAACAGCTTGCCTCTGGTGCCGATGGTATATCATTTAAATTTTCATCACATAATATGTTGCCGTTCTAATTCTTTTTGTTAATAAAGTTTGGTGGTGTCAGCAAATTCTGAAAAGGAGTTTTCTGTTTGATAGGAGGTGAACTGATCATTTGGAAATTACACACTACAGAAACTGGTCAAAGTTGGAAAGTTTTCAAGAGTTTGTTGTAATTCGTTAATCTGAATGCATTATAAAGCTTCTATAAGATTGTTTGTTTCTTACAAATTGGTTTTTCACTTTCGAGTTTGGGTGAAACTTGATTAGGATGAAAGTTCCTTGGCTAAAATAATTATTTTTATCCTTCACCTGTTCGATAGTTAATATTGAAGTAAAATTTTCAGTTTAGGATCCCTTTTTACGGTCTAGTCTTGTTGCTATGAGTTCTATGCTTATGACAGGCTTCTTCTTGCCTAGATTTCACCGTAAAGATGTTCTAGATTTGCAATGGTCAACTGATGGCTCATTTCTCATATCTGGATCTGTTGACAATTCTTGTATCATATGGGATGTTAACAAAGGTATAAAAGAGATTATCCAGAAAACTGATAAAAATGCTTTGTTTATTCTTTTTTTTATCATTATGATTTTAGCTTTTTATCATCTTCAGGTTCTGTCCATCAGATATTGGATGGACATTTCCATTATGTTCAAGGCGTTGCTTGGGATCCCTTGTCCAAGTATATTGCTTCTCTCAGTTCAGATAGGACTTGCCGAATTTATGTCAGTAAGCCTCAAACAAAAACAAAGGGTGCTGAGAAGCTGAATTATATTTGTCAACATACCATCATGAAGGCAGAACAGCAACCAATAGATGATGCTAAGGTTGCAACTATCTTGTTGTTTTCTGTATTCAAGGTATATTTGTTACTTACATGGTTTGAGACGCAGTTGGTAAAAAACCATCTTTTTCATGATGAAACACTTCCATCATTCTTCTGCCGATTAGCTTGGTCACCCGATGGATCATTTTTACTAGTGCCAGCAGGTATTCGCTCAAATGCATGTATAGTTCAGTTACATACTTATGAATATAGTTCAATACTTTCACTCCAGTTAAAGTGTTTTTTTTCTTAGACAAACATTGTCCCTGGAACCACACGTGGGCAATAATTTAGGGTTCTATCCTCAATAGTTCTGAACCACCTTCACTTACAGAATTTAATTGTAGCTCCTCACATCGTTTATGCTTTTATAAAGCACATGTACATGCTTTTTTGCTTCCATTGATACCATTGCATTTTGTTTGACATTTCTTACATTGCAGGTTCGTATAAAATATCTTCATCTGAAACAATAAAAACCACTTGTGTCTTTTCCAGAAAAGACCTTTCTAGGTAAAGACGTTTCCAATTTTTTAATACAAAGGCTATACATCTTCACTTATTAAACCCTAAACCACTTATTGATAGAATTTGAGAAGGACGAACTGGGACTACCTATTTCTCTATCAGGTTTAGTCTTGTTTCTCCATTTATATTGCGATGTTTATCTACCAGTTTTATACTCGTTTGGTCTTTACTTGCTTCTGATGCTTTTTTTTCTTTCTAGAACCTAAAGCCATGAATATTGAGAATACAAACTCAACTGCCCAGAACCCTGGTGACATGGTGGTTGAAGTTGATGATCCAGTCACAGCAGATGACAAAATGTCGGAATGTGCAGAAAAGAGCGAAGGGAAACAGGCATCACCAATAATAGCGAATACTCCCATATCAAATAAGCCAGCCAAGCGGCGAATTACTCCAATGGCGATCGACCCTTGATATTGTCATGATTATGGTACTTTTTTTTGTCAACTTTTTTTTGTTTGCGTATTGTTGAACTAGGTATCATACATCCATTGTGAAATGGATCATGTATCATTTGTGGTATACATAATTGAATGTAATCTGTGGTTGATCAAGAATTGCATTCTAGCAGCTTTGTGCATGCATTCATCCAACTGAACAAGAAAACCATGAATTAAGCTGAATACCATTTGCACCAGCCCTGGTTGGTAGTAAGATAGTGTCTAAAAACTTGAATTCAATTTGATTATCATCAAAATGAATTCGAGTGGCTCAAGATATCAATGAAACTTCAGTCCCAAAAGTTCAAAAATGCGTTAGATTTCTTACAATATAACTTTTGCTTCATTTTCTACAATTACCATGTTTTACTTTTTTTTGGTTTACTATTGTTGAAATAATTTTGAAAATTCATCTTCTAATTACAAAACAACTTGAGTTGAGCCCAAGATAAAAAAGTTATTAATCAAATTCGAGTCCAAGTTTCGAGCAGCTATTTTTAATCGAGCTCAAGCTTCTCACAATTCAACTTCAGTTTGGCTCGTTTACACCCCTATAAATGAACCCATATAATAATCATATATATACATTATTAATAATATTTAATACATACAAGTATGCAATATATGGGTACTGAAGCATAACTACCATTATTCAGCAAGCAAGATGATAAATAGAGTAAATTATAATAACTGTTTCCGGCACTAGATTTTGAATCATCGCAAGCAGTCAACGCATACAAAAGGAAAGCAAGTTCCAGCATCATATGTTAAACTTCCAACAAAATATCTACACGCAGTTATGAACCTACTTCTAAGGACTAAACATAAATATAAATTGACCAGTTTAGTATTCTGTGTTTACATAAACTAGACGGGAGCCCAAAAAACTGATGTTGCGCTGACCATAAGAATAATATCACGAAAAGATACTATGATCCCCTGTTTCTTTCATTTTTTCTGAAACTTTTTCCACATATGCCTGCAACAGGATAAAAATTTGTAAAGCCAGCAAATTACACATGAAATGGAACGGTCTAAAAAATAATAAAATCAATGCAAGAATCTCTCTATCAACTTGAACCATGGACATGAAACCGAAAATCTTTCAATGAGTTGTAAGAAAAAAAGTACATTGAAGTTCCCTGTCTATTAGCAAGTTATTGGGTGATAACTAATAACACAAAACATGAGAATGATGGCTTAAATGAAAACAAGATATGAATGCAAAGCGTAAGGGAAAAGACGACAAAAGGAAGGTCTCATGTTATTATTCTTCCCCTGACCTCAATTCTAAACCCTTCAAGTTAAAAGGAAGTAGCATTCACCTGTACAAGTTTGCCAAGCTTCAGTTTTGAAACCGACAGATATTGATCAATTTTTTCACGTGTTTGAGGAATACTCGTCCCTTGAACAGTGGCAATCACTTTGTCAACAACTTTTTTCACAATGTTTTTGTAAGCCTCTTTGTCAATGTGACCTTCTTTCCATGTTGGTTTGAGAAGATCCTTGACAAACTCAGCGAGTGCAAATTTAAAAGCACGGATTCCCTTATCATCCTTTTTTTTCTTGCCTTCATCAGCATCTATATTCTCTGATGGGCCATTTTCCCCTTCAGCTTTCTTGGTTTCCTCAACTCCTCCATTTTCCTTCTTCCCCTCAGAACTTGCAACAGGCTCCAGCTGGTTTGGCTTATGGCTATCGAGATCAGGCTCTCTTTTGGAACTGTTCTTGTTACGATAATCATTACCGCTATTACCCAAAAGAGATGACGTTAACAACTTACTAGCCGATAGTTCAGTTTGGCCATCTGCCGTCTTTTTCTCTGCACCAGGATGTACTGTAAACCCCAAAGGTTTAGCATCTGTGCCCTGCTTCTTGGCAGGCTCAATGCCATCAGATATAGGGTCATATTGTTTAGAGAATAAAATGTTTTGATCTGGCTGTACAGTTGGCACAGAATCCGGCTCAACATGACCCCCAGAGTTCACAAAAGAATTTACCTGCATTCCATCATGGGAATTAAGAGCAACCTGAAGCAATGGAAGTTGCTGTCCCTTTCCAAATAACTGAGCTAGAGAGGCTGAAAGATTGGTAAATTGGGTGATCTGCTCATTGAATGCCATAGTCTGAGATCCAAAATTACCGTGTAATATATTTGCATCCCCAGCATTTAGTTTGTTTCTCGCTTTCTCCTCTTGAAACAGCAGGCTTTGTTGGGTACCTTTCATATTTACTTCGTTTGAAGGGATCAGCAATTGATTATTTCCAATAGCATTTAAGTTTGAATAAGGAACAGAACTTGGACTTGGAGCAGGCTGGTCAAAGATTGGCAATGGCAGGACGTTGGTAGACAAATTTAGATTAATGTGTGAGTTAGAATTTGCGCTAAGGGCACTGCTAACAGATGGCAGTGCTACAGCACTGCTGCCCCTCACGTGGTCCTGATGAATGCTAGATTTCTCAGTTAATGTTGGCTGCAAAGCTGCAAAACCATCATGCACCTGACCAATGGCCTCTTTAGTTATATTCTTTTCTTTAGGTAAAAGTGTTTCGACAAGAGTTGATTTTGAACTATAAGAATGTTCCTTTTCAACAGAAGATTGGATCCTGTAATTCCACTCTGGGGACATTTCCATATCACCAAGTGACTCCTCGGCACCTTTTGGTTCAGATACATGCATATTATCACCAGCATGTTCTATCTTCCTAGGAAATACTTCTTCCTTGCAAATATCAACTGTTTTATGCTGCACATTACCCTCAATGTTCTTTCCACCGAGATCATAGTTGTGCTGCCGTGTCTCATGCATGGGCCAATTAGAGTATCTTGATTCGGAGGCACCCTGATTTTCAACTGTGTCCTTGCTCAACTTTGTAGCCCCTATGTAGGCACCTGCATCAATCCATTTTGAACCAGTCCATGAGTTGTTCCTGTCATTGGCATCACTCTGTTTTGAACAAGTCCATGAGCTGTTCACATCATTTGAAGCATCAAGATCACTCCATTTTGGACCAATCCAGGGTATCTCATCTTCATCTGCATCTCTCAACGTTGCACCGTCATGCAACTTATCCACACTAACAGAGCTAGGACCCCATACACCTCTATCACCACGTGACCTTTCAGGGCTTGCACGTGACTGCCCGTGATGAGAAAACCTACAATATTTTCCATTATGACAATTTCCTGCAGCAAAGTATTTGCAAGGAATATCACTGGTTCTACGAGCTTCACGCTCACCATCACGTTCTGGTGTTCTAACTCGGTTCCTCTTGACGTGTTCACTTTCACTACTTATCTCATTTGTTTGTCTTCTACTGAAGCCATCAGTAGCACCATCATGAGCAAACCTACATGATGCACCTCTGCGGCAGTTACCTTTCAGATAATCAGTGCAGCAATCAGTAGACCTTCCACTCTTAATGGGGTAATCTTTACCATCATCGTGAGTAATATACTTTGAAGCGCCAGCTCTATTTTGTCTATTATCCCAACCATCCTCGCGATTTTGAATATCTTGGTGAAGAAAGTGACACTGACTGCCTCTCCTGCCTCTCCCAGCCATAAAATCTTTACATAATTGAGTTGAAACTCCAGATCTGTTTCTGGTTCTCTCATGGAATCCTGGTTGCCACTTAATGTCACGAACTGGACTCCGGCTCCTGCTTCTACTGCGACTTCTGCTCCAGCTCCTACTGCTTCTGAGGATATAACTAAGATTAGGTACAAGCAAAAAAACAATACTATTCAAAAGAAAAGAGAGAGTTACACAGGCAGAAGGATGGAAAAACAGAATCCTTTATCCACAAAAATAAGCATGAACCATAGAGGAATACTATTTAAGAGAGTACTAAAGCATTGTATTCAAAAAATTAAGCTGAGATGCAACCTCAGTAGTAACACAAGATTTCAAGAGAACCAACATGAGGGGAAATTTGTAATATATTTAGCATAGATAAATATTTTCAACATAAATGAAAAAGCAAAACAGAAGCATCAAGTATATGAGACTCAATTTTGTACCAAACATTGAAGAACTAGTGTAAGCCATTGATCTAATGGAGTCAGGTTATACAAATGGTATACAAACAACCAGGATAACATTTAGATAAATAACAACCAACAATAAACAGAGTAGACAATCCAACCTGCGAGACCTGTTCCAATCACCTTTAGGAGAACTGTGTCGTTTTTTAAGCCTCCAATCGTCAAGACCAGGTGACATTTTCTTACTGTAGGTCTCATCCCTGTCCCATGGAGTTGCAGTGTTACAATTTTTGACAAAATCATTATTATCATCCTTTTCGCCAACTCTGCTTCCATGTAAAGATTCCCTGATAGGCTGTCCATGCTTAGATTTCATCATGTCACCAACTCCGACAGCAGACCACTTGTCCTTCCCACCAACCTCTGAAGAGAAATATCTGTGTGCTGATTCTCTATCATGAAAAGTCATACCAGCTTTTGCAGGCCAAGCTCTATCTCGTACATTTTCAAGGGAATGCTGGTGGTTCCTCTTTCGAATTCCACTTAGAACCTCGTCTTCTGTTTCCACTCATCTCACCAGTAACACAATTTCTTATAGATGCCGTATGATCTGGAAGTATGGAATTAAGCCATTAATCAACTGCCACCATCCATCTGTCTTAGGATTACCATTGATTTATTTCAAGATCAGATCACATGGCAGTCAATCTCATGTCCACTCTGCTGCATGGAGGAAAACCTGATTTCATGAAACAGAGGTCAAATTTCCGTAAACAAAATCAGAACATGGAAATAAAGATACCCCACATCCAGAAGTTAATGTTCAGTACAGCATTACATACTGTTTGAAACCAGATTTAGCTTAATTTTTCTGTTCAATTTCTGAAAAAACTATTTTTCCTATGGATATATCTCTATGAAATATCGATTTGCTTCTAACACATGAGAGTAAATTTAATATCATCCTTCATGCTGCACATACAAGCTACACTAAGGATATATCTCTATGAAATGTGTATCAAATTAGCAACTATAAAAC